CTGGTTTCACCCAGCTGGTATTACCTTCACCTATAAGGATAAGAACGGAAGTTACTAAGGGAATACAGACTGCAGAGTTTCTGAAAACAAAGTTTTAAGTTTAAACATAAAATGTATGGAATAGTAAATTGAGGGGAAATTACAAATTCTATCAATATTCAGTTGTTGGGAAGTAGCATGGGGCACAAGTAGAAGCTGAATGCTTTATTTCAAATATTGAAACACATTATAGTGAACAAACACAACTAGTCTGAATAAATTAAATCCCAACTGCCAACCTAAGCATAAGGATATGCAGCCAGAGGTACGTTACCCCTTACGTGCAGATGCAAAGCCATTGCATTCAACTATGTGGTTGCTTTTCTGAATTGTTGCCATACACCCCCAACCCCAAAGCAAATAGTCCTTTGAACTAAAGGAAGGCCAGTCTAAATGTCTCCTGAAATCTCACAACAGAAATTGGAATTTGTTTATCAATCTTTCTAGCTTTTTTCTGCAGTTGTCCCTCTATTCCCCCCAAGTCCCTTTTCAGTCTCATTAAGGGCATATAGTAAGTGAAAAGACAACCTTTCCACCTGTAACTCTTAAAACAGCCCTTTAAGAGGTAAGAGACACTGCCAGCCAGCCAATGTGCCAGTTTCCTCAAGTCCACATCTTAGCTTAGTACTTTTGCAAAATGGAAGGAACACACATTTTAGGATAGAGCAACACAAATTTATGTTCTTTTGAATCACTAGCTATTTCCGTCATCCGTTCCCACATCTCACATTGTACAGGGATTAAATGCAAGTTTTGTCTGAGGGGAATTTATATACACCACCATGGGTTTTCATAGGCACATGCTAATGCAACAATCCAGAGTGGGAAAGGTCTCCCTTTTCTCCTCCCCCTCCCAATCCCACCACCCTCACAGCATTTGCTTAACCCCAGTGAGTGGCATAAAGGCAGATCTGCAACTGACCTGTTGATTCCAACCTTGCTAGCTGTGATGGTGGAAAACAACCAATGGTCCAAACAAACCTAAAAAAGCACAATCTCTTCATATTGGGCTCCATTTAGAATGAGTGACTATAGGCCTTCCTGATTAGCTGGAGATCATTAGCAGATATTGTTTGAATGCCGAACTATCCTCAAACATCTGTTGAGCTATCAGGGAGGGACTGCAGCCAATAAAAGCTTTGCACACTCAGTATAGTAAAGCCTCCCTCCCCCACAAGGTTATGAAGTGCTTCTCTCCTGACAGCACCAGTAATCGGAACCGCCTAGCAGATTACGCATAATGTATTCTGGCACCACACTTCTGAGCTCTTAAGTCAGTTTTGTAAGAAATCAAAAGTATTCAAAGACCAGAATGAAGAGTTTAAAAATGGAATACAATGCAAGCACTTTGTTATTTATCATGCCACTCTGACAAAGTGGTATTTTCAGCAGACGAGTTACTGCCTAGGATATGTACTGTATTTCTGTTTGTCACTGCATTTAAGTATGTACCCCACAGCCTTATTCCAATTCATCTGGTCTAAGTGAGAAATATCTATTAAACCCAATTATGCAGAGATCCACACTTACTGGTTATCATCCCACACCAAGTAAACCCTGGGCATACTGGTCAAAACAGAGTACTGTGGCTGGTACATATTTGCAATCCAACTATTGCAGTTGTTTTATTGCATTCCTAGTAGAACTATTATCACTAGACTTTGGATATCTAGCTTAAGCTTGGGCGGAATTAGTTGCACAATGCATATGCTGCTCATACCAGTATTTCACACACACTTTTCGGTGGCAAACTGTTAAAAGTACAGAAGACATGTTTATCCAGTCTGAGACTGCTGCTGCTATATGCAAGATTCATTAATGAATCCTGCTCAATTATTAAAGTCCTTGAAATACAGTACCTACGTTTTGACAGAAGCACAGTTCAGCCCAAAGTAAAATATTTCTAATTCTTGTGCCAGATCAGATGGAAACACTTTTTTTAAGACACAGAATATTGAACTACCTAGCAAACAAAGCCAACAAACCTGGAGGGTAATACATGTTAGGTATGTAACCCCATGATGTATTTTCACCATCAATGAAACAGAAGAAGCTACACCTTTTTGGTAAGATGTATATGGAACATGAGAAGTGGGAGTTCTCGGTTTTTCAGTGTATCATTTGAACAAATTCCACAGCCATTATTCCACAGCCACCCAAACACATTACATAACTAACCACTAAAGTTACAAAACACCACTCCCCAACCAGCAACCAGGGCAAGTTACATATGAATATATAGCTTTCTAGCCAATAAAGGGCTGAAATGTGGATTTTGCCATGAAAGTGTAAAATGTATTAAGAGTACTTATTCCTATGAGCAACAAACAGGACCTTGAGTAGATATTTACAAGTTGTACTCCCTTTCCCATCCCCATTGATCTCTAAGAATCTTTTTGGTACACAGTAAAGATGGAAAAAAGTCATATGCACGAAGGAATCACGGGTCTGAGGCACACATCTCAGCATCACGATTAGCTTGCCTAATGCTGATTGCAGGTTAGGCCTCAAATCTAAGCATCATACAGTATGAGTAGTGCTGCACTGAAATCCCATGGTCAGAAGTGTGATGCCAGAGTACCCCCACAGCAAGATTACACAGAAAGTCACCAAGTTAGATTATAGTGCTTTTTACCTACCTGTATGCAGGCGACAAAGAGAATCTCGGAGCAAGCAGGAATACTACTTCCAGGTCCTAATGTCCACTTGTGGTACTACGTTCCTCACAGTTATGCACTGCGAAAATGCTGACTAAGTGCTGTTATGTAGCAGGCCACTACTTTTTAAACAGTGTCATATTGCAGTCTCAAACTCCAGAAAAAAGCATGCTGCCACAAGTGGTTGCCCAGGAGATGCCAAGAGGTTGTTTTAAAAAAAGCAGATACCACAAAATACGCACAGAAACATAAATTCAGTTTTTCATTATAACTGGCAAGGATGTGGTTATAGCATGCTAGGGGTATAAGAACATGGGAAGATAGAGGAATTTGTACGGAGGCCCTTTTGTTGACTGAAAGCATAGTGGGCATGCAGAAGTGTAATAGTCACTCTTCTGCTCAAAAAGGACCTGCATGTAAGCCCAAAGAAGTGTTTAAAACACATTTTTAAAAAGATAAAAACTAAATAGAACACCCAATTCAATGAGAACTCAGAATCAATTAATTTGCTGGTACTTGGGGTCCTGCTTAATATGCTTTGAAGTCAAACTACTATACAGGTATTTAAATGTGCAGTTGTCAAGACTTGCCAGGTAAGGTAAAAGAATAAACTGCAGCTCACTATATCTGTCCAGATTTAACATCAGCCTAGATTTAGACAGAATGAAACAAGAAATGAACCTTAGGAAGGTAATGGGACCATCAGCCTCCTTCACTCTTCAAGATTACAGTACTAGAAAAGAGCATGGTTTAGGGTATGTGCCAGCATCCTAAGGAAAAATGGCATGTAATCTGAAAAATAAACTGAAAATTAGTGTCCACGTCCAGAGACCCCACCACTGTCAATCTGACTTTCTTCCAGTGGGTGTCACATGAACACCCTTTCAGAAAATGACCTGCAGGTGACTGAGCCCCTAATATCAAATGACAATGAAGCTGAACTTTTACGTTTCACTGACCTGTATACAAGGGTTTATCTACACAGGTATCCAGCTCAAGAACTGCAAGTTAAACATTTCCCTACTGTTCCTATAGCAGCTGGTTTTGGATCTAACTTCCTGAAAGGTTGTGGAAATGTAGCTCAATCCAACTGAAACACTAAACAATCATCCAGCAGCCTTAACCACCATTTCCCAGCATTCTTGCATTTAAAATGTTGCATAGCACAGAGCTTTGTGCTAATAGTTTGTATGATCAAGATGTAATAATTGATGGCACCAAGGTTTATCTGCTCCTGTTGCAAACACATTACAGATAGCCCATTATTGCCAAAACAGAGTAACACATTTGAAGGATTAAAAGCTGTAATAGTCAATTGTTGAATAGACATCCAGAATAAAATACAGAGAATGGTCCAACCAAGCAGGTTGATCTTCATTTCATCAACCACAGTATTTTTTGAACTGGGAAACACTGCTCCCAGCATTTTAGGTGCCATCAGGGTATGGAGTCCAGGACACCTTGAATTCATTCATGTCTTTTAATAAGTTAAGGATTAAAGATTCAACCACCCTAATAGATTTAACACCAAGTGTGTAGTGTGGCCTGAGGTTCAAAACTTCCAAATTTTAATATTTAGAACCTCAAGCATCAGGTTTGTCTGGCAATTTACTACAGTGCAGGATACTATGCATTATTAAGCCCAAAGTGACAAAGGATACTTTCATTTCTGTACTCCAGTTCACAAACGAGAAGAGTTATAAAATACAAGTACCCTCCCATCCTGAATGTTTTCTAAGCATTCTGATTAAACATTAACAGTAAAATAGGGCAGCCAGGTCTTATAACACTGAACATGTTGGGGGCATGTCTCACTGAACAATCCTTTAAAAGAAGTTCAGATAGAAGTTCAATACAAGCCATGTTATGAAACCTGAAACGGGAGATGCTTTTAAGATACTCAGCAGCAAATACTACCAAATGTCTGCCAACACATTTCCCTTCTCCGACCATCTTACTCAAGACTAAAGTCTAAGTTTTGTGTATCTGCATCAGATTGCCTGTGCTTCCTTAACTGCAGGGCAATTAAAGCCTTTAAGCCCCTTAACACTAACTGCATTGCAACTTTGGTAGAACGAGCGTAGAGGTGTCTTTTCAAGGTGAGTCCACCTCTTAAGTTATTTCATACTCATCTAATTAGGTCTCATTGCATAATGATAGGTCAGTAGCTCAATTAAGACATTTTACGGCAAAGCAGCACCCAGGTCATGTTGTGCCAGACACCAAATTAGATTTCAAACAATGTATGCACAATGGAAGGTGCAGCGTCTTTGCTCTGTATACTTGGATCCAAGAAGGATAACGTTTACGATATAAAAACCATTTCTACATTTAATCTATTTATTTTAGCACAGTAAAAAAAGTTTACACTTGGGAATTCAAATGGCACACCGTACACTGCCATCAAGGTAGGGACGTTATACATCAAAAAAGCTAGGTTTTGAACACTGCATTACATAATTATATTTTTGTTGCCCAGACCACTTACAAATTCTAGGTCATTAAGTTTCTAACATCCATAAAAACATAGCTTTCTTACTAAAATGCAAGAATTAAAAAAAAAAGTAGTGTCTAAACAAGACAAACGAAACAAACTGGAATGAAAATCTACAAGTCACATCTAAAATCGGGGTTTTTTGTTTGGGCCTTCATATTCTTCTCTCCCTCTCCCATAAGCTGCTGGAGTTCCAGGCCCCATTCCTCTAGGGCCCTGGCCACCTACAGGCCCCGCACCTCCCTGCCCAAATCGCTCTGGGCGCTATTAGAACATATTAAAGAGTTCATTATATGTAGTTGATGTCCATGTGTTTTAAGTATATATTTTAGAAGGTTCCGTAGTCAACGTTCGTCGATACAATCACCATTGAGCCGATCCACAGGGTACCGGGAACATAGAAAGGAAAAAAGGGTAATTTAATAATTAGTTTAATTTAATACATGCCTTGAGGTATGTTCCCAACTTGATCCATTCTCAAATGCCTGCTTCAGCAAAAAGATCTCCCTGAAGTGCTAAAAATGTAATCATTAGTATAGGCTTGATCTAAGAATTGTCTCAAAAAGAGCGTTCTGGGAGTCTGCCACAATTACTTTGCTCATCTGTACTGCAGCACAAAGTTGTCAGTCAACAAGGCCCAAGTAAGCCTAGCCACAGGCCAGGTTCAGCTCCCAAAAGGAGTCATCTTATGTAAAGCAGATGACTACTCACCAGTTTAAGAGTATGAGACCATTCTTTTTGTCATGACTCAAGACTAGTCTGCTTACTGAAAATGCAGAAATCTGAGAGCAAAAGTTGTTAAGACACCAATGAAGAACAAGGAATAACATGAGCCTAATGATAGATTTACCTAACCAAGGCAAAGTAATATGAACTGTTTGCACAGAGTTTTGCTTTTTAAGTAGTTTGACTGCTCTAAACAGCCCCATGGAGGTCCCTAACCTCATGAGGTTTAGCAAGAAGTCCACTATGACTCTGCAGTTACTGAACGCTTTCAATTGGTTTCCCATGGATTCACAAAAGTTCAGACAGTGATAAAGCAGAGCAGTTAACTTTCCAATTATCTGCTGTATTTTCTTTTATTGAGCTATTAGGCACCAAGTAGAGTGAAATGGATCAAATATTTCATGTTTAGTCCTGTGACGTTAAACCTAGAACTACTTTCATACAAAAAAGGCTTTCTAGAAGCCAATTCATTCAGCATGGCTCCTTTGAAAACTAACTGTATGAATCCCTTTAACCAGATACACATGCAGATTTATTTTGTGAAAGGCTCATATACACACCCAGTTTTCTCCCCGGTAATCCCACAAACCAAAAACCTAGAACGCTCCAACCACAAAAATCACTAATGACAAATCACATGCATGAGCCCTTCACTGATTTGCATAGGTATCCAATCTTGGAATCACCAAGAGTCTGGAATTCCTAGTGTGCAAACAAGCAACATTGGTAAAATTTCCTCATGGTTATTTTAAAATACCCGAAGGCCAAGAATGAGTGTATCCTTTGAGGAAAGTCTACTTTTAAAGGTTATTAGCAGGTAAGGCAGCACATTGCTACATGCAAAGCACTGCCCACTGGAACTTCAAGCATTCTTCCAATACCACCAGTTCCAAGACTTTGGAGTATTTCATATGCACTGTTTATACGATTTCAATAGAAGCCTAAAACTAATCCTTTAAACTGCAAGGTCACTTAGTTTCTAGGACACCATCTTAAGAACTAGTTTTCCTGGGGGGGGGGATTTTGTTTCCACAAAAAAGTGGCACACAAGGTACTAGTACTTTATCTTAGTGAGCAAAAAGCTGTAATGCACACATTCATCTTGTCCCCACACTTGGCCATGAATTTTATATCATGGATTATAGCATACCCTTAAGGTGTATGTGTACACCACACCAGCACTGACTACACTTGGATTACAGAATATATTTTTTACCAGTTATGAGCACTGCTGCCATGCCATTACGTTATTCAAAGCAGGCCCAGAGACCATACCACACATATAGTGTGACTGCATATTTTTACAAGGCCTACTGTACTAGTACAGGCATAATGCATGGAGGAAAAGTCTATCAATATATCTACTAGTCCACCATGGCTATACAGAGCCTCCAAATTCAGAGGCACTATGCAACTACATGCCAGTTAGCTAGGGAGCAGCAAATTCAAAGAGCGCTACTGCCTTCATGCCTTCCTTGTGGTCATCCAGATGCATCTGATTGGCCACAAACCTTTGATCTCCTCCAACAGGGCTCTTAAGTAAGGTAATTTAAGCAGTATCTAAACATCGTGACCGAATTATATATTGTCCTTTAAGCATCAACAAGCGACTTAATCAAGAAGTACCGTACAATGAGAACCTGCCTACCCCGAGCAAGAACTGCTTTGTTCACATGCTATGGCAGAAGCCAACAAATACAATACGGTATACTGTTTGTATTTGACTGCTCACTACTATCTACCTGTGACTAATCAGCTGCATTAAGTAGTAAAAAGTATGGGTTTCACAGGGTGCAGTGATTATAATTAGGCTTGGAAGAGTGTGCCTCCATCTATTTTACAAGTATTTCACTATCACTTTTATGTCCCACAGTTAACTCAAGTTCAGAAAGTGACAGACCACTTCTGCTCATTAAGCTAACAACAAGAACTTGTAATTTTTCCAAAGACATGACTTGATGAATTCCTTCCAAGCTTAACCAAAGAACTCCAAACCCAACCAGCTACTGTAAGAGCAATACCAGAAGCAGGAGTGTCCAAGTAGACCTCCCACCATACCATGCAAAGACATGGCTCAGTTTTCATTGCCCAACAAGCCCCTTGCTTTGCACTATTCACACTTCTGGAAAAAGGAAGCCTAACTCAAAATGCAGATCACCTAGAATCAAAACAGGTAAGAGGTGCTTCACATCTACGGTATTTGTTTGGAATTGAAGTCAAGCTGCCACAGAATACATTACCATATCGCTTCCCATCATGGAGCCACTCATAGATGCTTGTCCAACTCCAGGACTGGTTTCATAGCCAAGGCCAGTACCACCTCCTAAAGGTGGGAATTTCTGAGCAGCTGTACCATAAGGATCTATAAAAGAAATCCAGGTGGTTATATGCAGGATAGATTACAATCATTCTTGTGTGAAAGGTTCAACTGAAAAATTATTTACCTCCCATGTTCATTGTGCTGGTACCTCCCATTCTCATGTCCCTCTCCCTCTACAAAAAGCAAAATACAGAGTTTTAGGAAAGAGTAAAACACTTCATGCTTTGCATTCTTGGTACACAAATCAGAGTAAGATAGCACTATGTCTCATGAGATTGCTGAAATAGACAGCAAAACTGGAGGAATAATTTAGAATTCCAAGTACAGAATCAAGAATGTAATTTGAACTCCTAGGGATCAAAACATGAGGTGCAAGCACCTGGGCAACCAATTACTGGGATTCTCATAGCCCTAACTTACAGGGTCCATGTAACCCATTCTACTATAACTTTCTTCTCTCTGTCTTCTCATTTGTTCTTCCATCTCACGTTGGCGGATCATCATCTCTTCCTCCCGCCTACGGCGCTCTTCTTCCTGTCTGAAAATTCAGATTATCCATTAGATTCCAGAATATCACTAAATTCTGCATCTCTGTACTTATTAAGTATCATGAAACTGTCAAAATTTGTTGAAAGAGCCAACATCAATGATAATCTGAACACAATTAAAGAAACAAACATGATAAACAGCACTCCAAGACATGAAACAAAAAAGTAGTTTTACCTCAGCTGGATTTCTTTGCGTTTTTGCATCTCTTGATTGTGAAGTTCTTCCATACGCCTCAGTTCTTCTTGTCGCCTCATGAGATCTGAAAATTTGATTTAACATTATCACCAATTCACCATACATAATAAGCATCTTGCTCATTCCAAGACAGAATCAGAATTTTTTAAAAAGCAGTCATGTGCGAAGTTAAGCTAAAGTAAGTTTTAGCAGTAAAATTTTTATCCCCTACATAATACAACCAGCTGTCTAGTTCCCCTGCTTAAACTCACATTGTTCTCCTCAAATTTATGATGGTATATATACCTATATGGGGCAAACACTGCATTGGCACTGACCTAACTACTTCCAGCCAGTGGTCTGAAGTAGACAACATTCACATCTTGCAGTGGCTCTCCAAGAAGCATTCCAACCATTACACTTCCATTTGTAAATGGGATTTAGGTACTTTAAAGATTTCTACAGTTAGCTCTTGCAGCAAGATATCATGTACTTTGCGCTGCATAACATATTTGAATACAATAGTAGGTCACAGAATCCTAGCACTATAGAGTTGGAAGGTATCCCCCAATAGTAGTCTAGCACAACCCCGGCAATGCAGGAACCAGAGCTTATTTTGCCTCTGTAGGAATAGTGGACCCAGAAGGTTCTGCAGAACCATTTTACCAATAGGTGAAGATGCTTCTTCCCAGAAAAGCTCACATAGCTTCAGAAGGCCTCAGTTCCGCTGATAATGCTCTTCAGGCAAGTTTTGCAAGCGCTCTGAGTCTAGGGAGGAGATGTGGAAAATCAATAAATGACTGGCACAATACCTTGGCGCAAAAGATTTGCCTGATGCTCATGGTATGCATCTTCCATTTCACTTTCCAGTTTGTCCTTGGCATCTTTCATGTTTTTCTCCACCTGATCTCTCTGTTGTTTCTCCATTTCATCCAAAGACTTCCATCGCTGAGAGTATTCATATTCAAAACTTCCAGGCTGTGCAAACCGTGGAGGAGTCTCTCTCTCCCTAGATACCAATTGAAAATCCAGTTAATAATGACAGTAGAGCTGATTTGCCAAAATGGTCAGCAGCAAGAAGAAATGAGAAATTCAGGACTAGTGAAAATCCATATGGAAACTTAGAATTAGGACATAAAGGAATTTTTAGATTGGTATCACTATAGTTACTGAGAACCATTAATATATGATAGAAAAAAGGACCAGCTAAAGAAACTGCAGGGAGTTACTCTTCTGATTAGGACAAATGAACAGAAATATCGGATGGGAAATGTACTGCAGAGAATTATTCACTTTTATAAAGGTGCTGTTTCATAAAATAAAATTAAAGACAAAAACATGTCTAATAAGCCACTGAAATAGATAAGTGAAATCTAAAGTAACATGTTGGATGTTTTCCTTGTCTCCGAACAAGGCCTCACTAATTTCTGTTTCCTTTTCTAATAAATCCAATATCCTGTAGTTACTGAGTTGTACTCATTAGGATGCTGGGGCTTGCAATTGATTTTTTAAACTTCTGCAGACCTTGGGGTGCCCTTCAGCATACTGACTGATACCTCTCTCATTTTTCAGTGGTTCTGATTTGGGCTCTAATCCTGTCAGCATTAAACCACGTATTTAAAATTCAAGGTATACGCAATACTAGCCAAATGTAAAATGTGTCAAA